AGAAGCTCACTTAAAGGACTGCACCTACCTGCTGCAGAGGCAGGCTCACCCGATGTCTCCTACTAAAGTGTGAACATCACAGACATCTGTGTGAGCAGTGTGTTGGTAGCTGGCTGGGAAGGCTGCATAGCTGGCTTCCTGCCACCACCAGACTTCCTAGGAAATCCGGATGACTGTGCATCTGCTTCTTCTCAGGAAAGTGGCCTGGCATAGTGTGTTCAAGTTAACCACTGTTGTCACCAACCATACCAGCTCCAGGTGACCTAGGCCTTAGCAGACCTAAAATGTGAACAGCTTCCTCAGGGCTCACCAACAGGCAGGTCCCTTCAGGGATTCTGAGCTGATCTTTTCCTCTGCACTTCTTCCTTACTGTTTTAGTGAACTCTTGTTTATGTTTAAGACTCAGCTCAGTTACCTCCTCCTCCATGAAGCCCTCCAAGACTTCCTCCACCCCCAGTCCTTATCCCAGCCCAACCCTACTCCTTCCCTGGGCCCTTTCACTGCTGCACGAGCCTTGTCTCCTTAAATGTCTGTGTGGCTGTGTGTTTATGTAGACCAGTGCTCACCATCCTGAGGCCAATTTGAGACCCCTGGAGGTGTGGCCATGGCTTCCTCTGCTTACCTAGCACATGCTGCTCAGGAAAAGGGGTCAGTCAACCCTCTAATTGACTCCCGAGAATCCAACTCCCATTGTTTAGCTTCTGCCAGCCTGTGCTCAGGGCATTATGACAGCCTGACTTCAGTGAAAACCCTGTGGTTGCAAGAAAGCAAGCTCATGGCTCTCACTGATTCTGTGTTATAGTGAGTTGTATTTCATTTTCATATGTATTACAACGTAATAATATAAGTAAAGTGCACAATAACTGTAATGCACTCAAATTATCCCAAAACGCTTGACCCCAATCCCACCCCATTTATGGAAAAGTTGTCTTCCGCAAAACTGGTTCCTGATACCAAAAAGACAGGACTACTGCTCTACCTCCTCCCTCCTTTTTTAAAGTTGCTAATGTACATGCAGTAAACAGCATAAAAGTGGAGTAACCTTAGGTATACCATTGGGTGATTGTGGCATATAATTATACTTGTTTGTAATGTAGGTCAGGGGGGACAACTTTTCTGGCATCCCATATAGCTGCTTCTCAGTCTGTAGCCACAGGAACCACCATTTTGACTTTTAAAGGTGACTTTTTAAAGTTTTAGTTTTTAAAAAAATTGTATTCAAATGAGCATGATATCAAAGTTGCCATCTTAACCATCATTAAGTGTGCAGTTCAAAGGGATTAAATACATTCTTTAAATGTGTGTTTACATTTAAATGGTGCTTACTTTGTTGGGGCAGAACAACTGCCTAATGTTGAGGCACATGGTATAGAAAGTGAAAGTTCCCCTAAACCTCACTGTCTTCCTCTTAGGGAACCTTTGATTTCAGTATGTGTATCCTTCCTGACCTTTCTCTGTGTATTTTCACGCACATATCTGTTAGCCCTAGAACATTTGATGTATATCTATATCCATGTTTTGACCCATAAACTGAATCATTGATTGACTGCTCGATTGGTTGTAGCTTGCTTCTCACATGTGGCCTGTGCCCAGGTCTTTCAAAGCTGAAGCACCCAGACCTTGTGGGGCATTCTGCATGACTTTGTCTCACAGCTGTGCTACTTCATCTCCTCCACCCAGACACCCACACCTTACTTGTTATCATCCCTTCTGACCTCTGTCATCAACACTTGGAGAGCCTGCTCTCAGGTCCCCTGTTCTCTGAGAGGCCACCATCATTGCTGATCCCGATGATTTTCCTTCCCCAAGGCCTTAGGTTGGAGAAGTACCAGGCTGGGGAGGCAGCATTAGTCTGCAGGGAGGTGCACATGCTTCAGGGAGGAGGTAGACCTGGGGGCCACCTTGAAATCCTATTGCAACTCTGAGCTGGCCCTGATCCCAGAAGCCTTCCCAACTCCAGCCCCATTGTTTTCTAGCAGGTGCCTGACTGAGCCAAGACAGTCAGCAAGGAGGCTCCACACCTTCATGCCCTCCTGCAGCCTCCCCAGGGCCTTTTAGTATTGGAGAAACCCAAACCTTTAGTATTGGAGAGATGCAGACCTTGTTTGTTTACAGGCTCCTCTCCTCAGGGGCCTGCATTGTGTGCTTTCTTTTCAAGAAGATAAACACAAGGGTCTTTTGAGTTTTGACTGTAGAGTGGGCTTGTAGGCCTCTACTTCTTTGGTTAGTTTCATTGGGCTTGCTCTTTCATTAATTCAACTCCTGGGGATGTTTGGTTCTCTTTTGTCTCCTCTCCCTTTTCTTTTCCTTTCCTTTGCATACAGAATGGCATGGGTACTTAGCTGTACAGTCTTGAACTCCAGCAGCAGCCTGGTGAGCTTTTTCTTTTTCTTTTTGAGATAGGGTTATATTATGTAGCTCAGGCTAGCCTTGAGCTCACTATATAGTTCAGGCTAGTGTTGAACTTGTGGCAGTCCTCCTACCTCAGCCCCTAGAGTGCTAGCATTACTGCCATCCACCATCACACCAGCACATGTGGATTTCTGCTCACAGCTTCTAACATGGCAGTGTTTTTCTGTGTTTGGTCTTGGTTTTCTGTGTCTGAGAGCTTCAGTCCCTGTGTGGCCTGCTCTAATTTGCTGGAATAGGCAATGATGGAGGAAGTGAGTCATCTCATCTTGGGGCCCTGACTTGCTGGCTGTGTTCAGTTGTACAGCATCTTGAGTGGGTTCTGATGGATGCTGTCTGTCAAGCAGTGTAAGCTGGAATGCTCTCATCCCCAAGCTCTGGGTTGTTGGCATCTCTAATATGCTATCAGGATTTCCTGCACAGTGGCATCATGCCTCAATTTATCTGTCATTGTTGTGGTTGAATAATCTAAAACGGGTAAATAAAAATGAATGTTTGGATTTGGATGCTAATTTAGGCCTCAATTGCATTTTCTTCTGAGCATTATTGAAATTAATGGGCTCCTTGAGCACATACCACTTATTGGCAAGGTAAAGTGGCCCCCAGAATACAGATAGTGGCTTTTTAGGGTAGATTCATGAGATAGATAATCCATATCAAGATAATGGAAAAGTTTATTCTAAAACTTTTTTTTTTTTTTTAATGACAAAATGATGTCTGAACATTATCCAGAGTCTGGAAATAGACAAATGTTTCAATCAAAATCCTGCCCCCAAACAAATCAATTTCCTTTTGTTTTTACTGCTTTCTAGATACGGTCTGTTTGCATGTATATACTATTTTCTTTTTTGAGATAAGTCTCACTGTCTTACTGATCTCAAAACAGTTCTTATGCCTCAGCCCCCTGAGAAGTTGGGACTATGGGCACATGCTACTCCACCTGGCAGTATGTGTATGCTTTTTAAAGACTGCTAAATACAGAACTTAGTCTAAGTGGTTGGTGAACACTGGTATTTAAGAAGAGCTTGCTCTCTGGAGTTCACATCCTTGCTCTGCAGCTCAGTAGCTGAGTGACTTTCAGCAAGTCCCTTAGTTCTTCTGGGTTTGGGTTTTCTTGAAATGGATTGATACTTCTGATTGTACTGATTATTAGAAGATTCTGATTTAGGAGTATGGAGTCTGAACCACACATGACAGGGGCCATTTTCATTTCTCTTTGAGGCCTCTGCCTTTTCCAGAGAGAAACTTTTTGTGTGGAACATGCCAATCTTTGGCCAATCCCTGATACTTACCAGGCTCAGCTTCTGAGGAGACTCAGTATATTTGTCACTTTCCCATCACTAGAACAAAATATTTAACACTTGTAACTTAAAAGCAAGAAGATTTATTTTGACTCATGGTTCCACTGGGTTTAGTCCATGGAAATCTGGGTACAAGGCAGAGATAGAATCGTGGAAGGGCTTAGCAGAGGACAACTGCTCACTACACAGCAGCTGAGAGAAGGAAAAGAAGGGAAAAGCCAGGGACAAGAATATATCCTTTTAGGTCATGCCCCCTGTGGCCCACCTCCAGCCACCTCCTAGGGGCTATGTCCAGAACATCTTGCCTTTTCAGCTACTTATTTTTATGATAGCAAGACAGCCTGATGTACCTGTACAGATATGCAGTTTCTTTTACTATGAACTTAAGAGTTCCTGATAATAGCAACATTCTTTAGTTGAGATACAGATTGTACAGTTGACATGTGGGTTTGTGTCCAAGCTCTGCCATCTCCTGCCTGTGCAACATCAGACAGGTCATTCAGTGTCTCTGAGCATTGGCTCCCTTGTCTAAGAAATGAAGGCAAGAACAGTGTTATCTTTTGGGGTTGCTACAGAGTTTATTTTATTTTATTTTGAAGAGTAAAAGCAAAAGCAAAGACAAATAGCAGATACAAAGACAGAAATAGGGTAACATATAGCAATACATATGTTACAGATTTTCAAAACAAGAATAGCAAATTAACAATAGTTATATTACATATTTTTATTGTGAAATCTGTTGCTCAGATTAATAGATATGGTTATACAAGATTGGACAAATAATTGAATATCAATGCTTGCTTTCAATAAGCCTTAATTTTTTCTTGTCTGTTTTACTTTTTAAAAAATTATTTTAAAGCAACTATAATAATAATTGATAAGACATTATAAATATAGACATTTAGAAGACCAAAATGAGAGATACTCAGCCAGTTTTTGTGCGCTACAGAGTTTAAATGAGATAATATGGTTAAAGCATAGCAGGTACCACATACAAAGTACATAAAAACCTCATCCAGAGGCAGTTTTCCAATACAAAAAAAAAAAAACCTAATGTTTGGGGAGCAAAGAGCTGGTACAATAAAATATAGTGTTTCTGACTTAAGAATAAGTGGGAACTGGTATTATTGTTTTTATTTTATAATAATGATGTTAGTAGTGGCCCTAACTCTAAACGAGCATTTATTGTTTTGAAGAGAAATTTCCTTGGCAGAAACTGTCAGGCAGCTTGCTAGCATGCAGTGAGATTCTAGCACTCCAATTTATCTGTTGCCTTTTTCGGATTCTTAGGCCAAGCCCAGCATTCGGTGCTTCATTAAACCCACCGAGACGCTTGAGCGGTCCCTTGAGATGAATAAGCACAAGGGCAAGAGGCGAGTGCAAAAGAGACCCAACTACAAAAATGTTGGGGAAGAGGAAGATGAGGAGAAAGGGCCTGCTGAGGATGCCCAGGAAGACGCCGAGAAGGCTAAAGGTACAGAGGGTGGTTCAAAAGGCATGAAGACGAGTGGGGAGAGTGAAGGTGAGTGTCCCCTGGAACCGCACCCTCACCAGCCAGCAAGGCTGCTGTCCTGTCCTCTGTCCTACTTCTGTTCATTCCTGATGCCCACCAGTGTACCTCATTCTGGACAGTCGAGCCACTCAGAGGTAGCTGTGGGCTGTCCTACAGACCCAGGACAGGTCCCACCCTTGTTGGATGTGTGACCTGGAGCAAGGCCTCACAGGCAGTACCCACTTGGTAGTGTTATTAAGGGAATCAAGTGAAATAATGCATCTGACCTGCTCAGAACAGTACCTGGCCCGTGGCAAATGCTGTAAAATATTTGTTGCTCCTGCTACTGTTGCTATTATTACTACTGTCATCTTCATCGTTATCACTGCCATTCTAATTCCCAATAATTTGGGGTTGTGATTTGGATCCATTGCACTGTGGAAAGAAAGGGGAGCCCATGGTTAATGGAATTACATGATTTTAGCACATTATAGGTTTTAAGAGTCACATGATCAAATATAATCCCCCAGATTCTTCCATGTTCAGAACTCCCATTGGTTTGGAGTGAGGTACACTTGTGTGTGGTGCATAATATGCTTGAAAAGAAGAGTTTCCTTCCTCCTTCACCTGGGCCAGGAATGATTCACCTTACTTTCTTTGCCCCACTCTTCTATTGATGGAAAACCTCCTTGGACTGGAGAACATTTGCTCTGGGATTACACACACTTGAATTGGCCAGTTCATGTCATGGGTGAGGCTATGGCCACCACAGAAGGGGCCTCTGACTGCAGCCCCAGTCAGTGGGGTAGTGAGGGGGTGTGATGACGGGGACTCAGCTTGGTGGTAATAGGGCTCTGCTTCCTGGAGGGAAGGTCTGGCCACACTTCCTGGGATGAATGTAGCCTCTCCTCACCAGACGAACTGGTGAGAGGGAATGGGATACACAACCTCATCTAGCCCCTGGGCCCTCGCCTCCACAGTGGCCACTCTGAAGCCAGTTCTCCCCAGTCCCATCAGCTGAGACCGTGGGAGCCCTTCCTCCAGCACATCTGGAGCTGTAATACAGAGCTGCTCCCTGAAGCAGTGATACTGAGCTCACTTTCCCACAGCCAACTGGCCCCATGATTTTCTTTGCAGTTGTCCCTGAATGCCACAATTGGGTGTCCGTAAGTGTAACCAGACTATCTCCATGATACCACTTGGGCCTTTTTCTAACACTGAGTTCTCCAGCTTGCTTTTATTTCTGTTCAAAGTGCACAGTAACCATTTTGGTTTATGAATCCTTTTTGGGCCTGGGAAACCTCTGCCAACAAATATCACTTTGGTGGGGAGGTGGAGGGATAAACACAAGGTAAGTTCTGTATATTTGGTTATTTAGGTCATTTTTGTTTTTTGTGTAACGCTGGAAGTCATCTGCTTAAACACTAGGTTTGGCTATTGTATAGCTGCCCTGAGGAAAAATGGGCATCTTCATCTCATTGTGTACACTGTGTTCTCATCAGTTTTGTCTTGTAAAGATGCTGCTGCTTTTGTTGCAGTGCTTTCAAGGACGGTAGCCAGGCCTCAGCTGTGACTACCAGTGGTATGGCCAGGACAGTCTTAGTCCCCAGAGCATAATCAGTTAGCCTGGCCATCCAGTCCTGGAGTGTGGGGGCCACAAGCCAGCTCAGCAAGGCTGCAGTTGCTGCTCAGACTACTGGGGTTGGATGGTACTCCCTGGTGCCAAGCCCACTGCGCTGTGCAGAGGCAAGAGGAGGCCCTTTCACCAGCCTCCAGACACAGTTTTGTTAGGCCAGGTTATGCCAAATATGGCCCAGAAATTTCTCTAGAGGCTTTGCTTGGGCAGCTGATGCTGATTTCAGAGCTTGGGCAAGCGTGCCTCTAAGTGACCCTCAGACATTTTGGTGCCTCCTTAATTTCTTAAACACATTCATCATTTCAAAATATGATGGGCCTTTTGTCTTCCCACTCAGATCACCATAAATAAACTCAGCTTTCACAGACCTGCTATACCAGACAATAGCACTTGTAGTCTGGAACTTTCTGAATTTTATACGTGATCTCAGTGATTCTCATACTCGAAGGTGTAGATAGTAGGTATTCTGTATTTCATTCAAGTCTGGTTTTGGACAGTTTTGGACAAAGCCCTGCAGCTGTTAATTACTATTGCTTGAAAGGGTTTCGGGCATATTCCTTCACTCATGTAGCAAGCCAAAGGACAGCAGCACAGAAGGTTGCTGTGTTCCAGTAGGCCAAGCCTGGGTCATGTGTCTACCCTACAGTGGCTCTTTCAGTGACTCTGAGGGGCAGGTATCAGAGGCGAGGGGCGTGCCTGCTGGGTAGGCAGAAACAGCAGGGTCCCCCACCACCAAAATTCTCTACTGTATTCTAGATAGATACTCTGCACCTGTCTTGAGGCTGTCTTCTTTCTCTCTTCCTGGGTCAAGATGGCTTTGTGGCTTATTTTCTCTTCCACATTATTTTTTCTCTAGCAAGCTTTTTGCATCATCTCTAGATCTGGGAGATAACTGAGTTTCAGTAGCAGACACAGGTTACTCTTAGTAACAGAGTACTGGTACTAATCCCTTATCTCTGCCACCCCTGTTCTGGTAGTAAATACAGGAGTAAAAAGGGCATGTGGTCACAAGGCACAGCTTACAATAACCATATTTGAATGTGGCATTAACATGTTTTTCTCAGATGCAGTACCCAGAACTCACACCTCCTCCACATTTAAGGCCAGACAAGGAAGTTGTGTGAAATGAGTGTGCACCCTCATCCCTCCACTCCTATCCCCAGTTGGCAGAGAATTTGCTTTACCTCAGGCCCCGAGTAACGAGTGACTCATTTTCAAACTAAGAAATCACAGGGCCCTAAATTAGCAGAAATTGAATATTAAAAGGAAGAAGAGGAATGTCTTAGTGTCTAGCCAAAGAAGTGTTCCCTCTGCCCACGAAGCCAAATATCCCAGGGTACATGCTCATTTCTTAGCTCACCCTTTAGTCTGAAAGGACAGCTGTCTCTTTTTGGATTTACTTAGAATGTAACTTAATAAGCAGACCGGAGGCCAGAGATTGAATCACTCAGGCTCCTCGTTTGCACAATAGGGCCTGACTTTTATTTCTTGCCTATGGAACAAATAGGCATTCGCTGCACAGCCTGACCTTCAAAGCCTGCTCTTTTATTGGAATTACAGCAAGGGCATGAGATGCAGGCAGTAGGATTGATTTTGAACCTCCAGGTCAGTTGAGATTGGAGGATTGCTTGGAGTTTGAACCCCTAGTTCTGTCTTTTTTTTTTTTTTTCCTTTACACATTTCTACTGGAATAACATGGTCCCTGACCTTATTTATGGCTCATCTGGCAGAGTCTACCAGTGTTCTGAGTGAATCACCCTCTGCGTTCCTCCACCCATAGAGGGGCTTCCTCATGTCCAGCCCTCAGGCTGTCATAGTGAGAGCATCCATGCTGAAGCATTTAGCTCACGGGACATGACACTATGACGCATGAGCCTTTGCCAAGGTACAGTTCAGGCTGAGGAACTGAAAGAGGACTTGAGCCTGGGTGGGTGGACTCTGCTTGGGGCCCTGGCGAGTTCTACAAGGTCCGCTCACTGTTTGTTTCTGTTATTAATAAGTGAGGTGAGTGGGTGTGCAGTGTAATGGAGAGAAAGAGAGGAGAAGGAAGGCAACCTGCTACTGCGAAGACTTGGGCTACTAGCTTTTTAGGTGGCTTCAACTAGAATTAGGAGGAGGACAGAAAGTGGGTAAGGAGAACTTTACTGAACAACTTTCCAGAAACCCATTCAAAATTCAACCTCCTGCTGTTTAGTAGAGGAAACCAAGAAAATAAGGGAAGGACAGCTCCCAAATCCTCAGTGTACACTGTCATTGTCAGGGGCTATTTCTTCCTTCAAACTGTTCTGAAGGCCACCAGTTGTATGCAGTCCTGCCCTGGTTTCCTATATAACCAGCATTACACTTCCCTTTCTTTAACCTTCTTTCAAAGGCCTTATTCTTCCCTTTTCCTCCTTTCATTGTCTGTCTTGCTGTGATTTCTGGAATATAGAACACAGGATAACTGAGAAAATCCTTGAACTTGTGAAGTCAGAGACTGTTGGGAGGTCATACCTGTCATTTCCCTGAAAAGTGCTTCATTTACCAGACATTAATTAGATTAGAATGTATATTATCCTGGGAAAGTTGATGAATTACTGCTCTTATTTGAAAAATCAGTGTGTCAGAGCACTAGCGAATCTCGAGGATGTGGCTAGAATGGTCATATCAAGAGGAAGAAGTTGACCTTGCTGGGTCATGAGGGTCTTTAGGCCTCTCTGGGCTTGCAGTGGCCTCCCCAGCATAGCCATTACTTGGTTAATGAACAGGGAGATGCGACTTTGCCAGTCTTTTTGCATTTTTTTTCTTAATGATAAAATGTACATATACAACACAAAATCTGCCATGTTAACCATGTTAAGTATACAGTTTGGCAGTGTTAAGTATATTCACATTGGGGTGCCCTCCTCAGCACCACCTGGTAACAGACTGTGTCTCTATCCAGGGAACACGGGCATCCCACTCCTACTTGCAGGCGCCCCCAGCCACCATTCCACTTCTATATCAACCTGACTACCCTAGGGGCCTTACCTAGATGGAACCAGACAGTCTCTGTCTCGTTGTGCTGTCTTGTTTTTGTTTATCTTTAAAATGGAAATATTTTTATTGATTTTAGTAAATGATTCTATGCCTATTCTTACAATCCATTCAAACAATTCAAATAATGCAAAGTAGAAAATTAAAGATTCCATAATCTCATTCCCATGCAGCCATCTACTGAAGATGTAGGAAGATTTATTCATACAATCAAAGAAATGTAACAGTGTGTGAAATGAGGGTCATTATTTGATCATCAAATAAATAGAAAATGAATTTAACCTAAGCTAGAAAGTTGGAGAAAGATAGACGAGAGCATAAGAAATTGAAAGTCCTTCTTTATCCCTTTATAATAAAGTTGACAAATATAGATGTTTTA